TCTAACAACTTTTCTATCTGTTGCTGGTCCAGAGTGTGAAAATCCAGAGAATTTCTGGAAAATTTACTGCTGCGACTTATGTATCTTGAGGTAAATAAATGCTAAATGTCTTGCAGGACTAATGTGATCTTTGTTTTTTTTGTTTTGTTTTGGTTTTTACCCTACTTTTTTCTAAATAACTCTTTTCATTAAGAATTCTTAAAGGTGATTAAGATACATCTCTAGCAGTGTGGCAATACCACCTTAATCATGTTTACTGCACAGGTATCAAAAAGAAAAAAGTCAAATCCTAGAAAGTTCTAAGAAGAATCATAAATTACTTCTCTCTGTGCAAGATTAAAACTTTGCGCTTTAGGTGAGTCCAATGCTAGATTAAACTATAAATCATCTCATTAAGGAAGAATTTAAATTTCCTAACTTGTACTAACATAAGCCAACTACATGTGTTCAGAACTGGTAATTAAATAATCATATCTAGGAAGTAAGGACAAAGTATCCATAGGCTTTTTATTTTCAAATCAGGTTTGCTTAAAAACATGGTCAAAGCAGGGAACATTTGATGAATGTCCAGAGAATGATATTTAGCAATAATGGAGTGGACAAAGGTAAATATATTTATGTGAAATGACATTTATAAGGTCTCTCCATGGGGTAATAATAATGTCACATTACAGATATTTTAATTATATTTATAAGTCACTATGTGCAGCTTATGAATGATTATGTCTCCTGAATCCATGTATTAGGTGGATTTTGATTAAGTTCTCATTCAGTGGAAACAAATAAAACAAAACTTCCATAATTAAACTGCTTTTAAAAATTATATCTAATTATGGTATTAGCATCAAATTATATATTCTCATGTACAGCAGTAAACTGCTGCTAAACTATCATTGTTGATTGAACTAAGCTAAACAATTAGCAATTACTCAATCTCTGAGGAGGAAAAAACCACATCAGTGTAGAAGTTCTTTGAGGGCGTTTAAACTTTTTAAGCCTAGAGCATGACAAAATCAGATAGGGTCATCTGAAAAAAGGAGGGTAACACACTTCAACCTGGGGACATTTTAAAGAAAGCTGGTAGGATGTTTTATTCTGATACAGAAATGAAGAGAAACAGCACTACTACCTGGGATTTACCTTCATTCTCTCACACTGAGCCTTCACTTCAAGAACACAGAAATCTCTTTCAAATGCCCTTTCCTGACTAGTCTCTGTGGGAAGTCTCTGTAGAAAGCCTTAATAACCTAAGACAGTTGACCCTGTCCTCCTGGACTCAACCCCAGCGTATCTAATCTGATTTCCTAAATATAAACACAGAATAGGACAAAAATAGTATGTATAGAATGTAGAAAAAGAAAGTCAGGAGAAGACAATCTTTCAAACTGTGTTCACATCAAACTCATCATACATATAACACTTCTTTTCATAGACAACTCACCAACATACTGCTAAATTGGCATAGAAATGGAGAACAGGTACTACATCTCACTATTATTGCTCCATATGGTTTCTATTGTTCATCCTTGCAGATAAGCAGAAACATTGGGTTAAATATGGACACACTAGCATTTCTTCTATTACGGTGGGGTAATTTTCAAACCAGAATTTGAAATAACAATTTTCAGAGCTCAGGAGCTTTCCAACTTAAGCAAATATTAAATACTGTTCATTCCTCTAATACAATCTATTATTTTCATATAATAATGGCTAAATTTTCATCAATTGGTTTGGAAATTAATGGACTATTACACATACCAAAATGCCCATTCTGCTTAAAAAAATAAAGTTTCTTTGAAAAGTAGTGTGCTATAACTGAGTTAAATGCTTAGTGTTTTAATAAATCAATGTTGGTATATTTGGTGAGCATATGTAGGACAGCCGTGAGTCTATTTTTACTTGTACGAACTGTACATGGGAATATGTAAAGGGACATAATGAGTATAACATTTATGAAAGCTATGTTCATATGGTCTGTATTTATAGTTACAGTAAGATTAGACCCCTTACAACTAAACATGAACTCTTCCAAATGAAAACTGAACACTGTAGCTAAATGTATTACCAACTATCTCTGGGAAGAGCAACCATTAATGATATAGTACATCTGAGTCTTCTCTTTTCCTTCTGCAAACCTAATGACAACTTTCAGAGGCAGTTTTATTAAAACATCCCTGGCACCATTAGCAACAGCAATTTATAAAATCTTCCACATGAAAGAGAAGATAGAAGATATTCTCTGCTAAGGGAAGTCTGGTTTGCTTGCTAATTGAGAAGCTGGTGAAATTATTCTGTGTTCATATCCTTCTTACTCCCTCATTCCTGCAGCTTCTGCTTGTTTAGTCTCAGTCATTGGAAAGGAGTCAGAATGAAATGCTTTGGAGATTCTGAGTATGGTACTGAACTAATGCCTAATCCTTGTGCGCTTAATTATTTCATGTTCCTGGTTTGCTCATGTACTGTGCATAGCCAAATGAACCACCCATGTGTTTAAGGTGGGGTGAGCAATTTGGGGTGGGTTGGGGAGTGAGTTGGAAGTGCTTACACTCTGATCCACATATCAAGTTTGATGACCAATTTCAAAGTTTTCTAGTCTACTGCTTGCGTTTACGTTAGTTGTGCAACTTTCTAGGCAGCAAAATTAAAATTCTGTACTGTGCTACCGCCCAGAATAAATTAACCAGGAATATGAACATAACTTCAGTTATGCTTATAACAGTTTACGAGTAACTATTTAACAGTAATTCAGAAGCATAACTTCCATGAACAGATCAAGAACGGAACTTCCAGGCCACCAAATACCTTTTCTCTTGATCTGAACAACAATGTTCCAAAATAATATTTCAGTTCTTTGCTTCGAAATTAATGCTTTATTGTACATTCCACTTCAATGTCATTAATACAAAATTCTTTCAGTATAATCTCTTCTGTAGTGGTAACTGTAAATTGCAGAATCAACTGGGTACTAAAATTTTGCTTTGAAGATTGCAAAACTTTTTGTGCATGTAGAGTTGACACTGTGTTCAGAAAGCTATACAGGGAAAGCTGCCTGTCCTATATACACACTACGCAAGGAGCAGGCAACGGGAGAAGGATGACTTGGCAGACCTTGCTTCAAAGCATATCCTAACATTTTGCCAGTGTAAGAAAGCAGTCAGTCATGGCCTTGTAGATTAGAATGGCATTAGGAACTGCGGGGGAATTGAAAGCTGCACGGAGTACCTTTACCCATAGGAAAGAGCTTTGTTGTCTTTGTCTTTTCTTCAACAAAGAGGGGATTAAAAGAAAATTATCACTTTGCATGACTTTGCCAGGGAAAATTGTAGGTATTCAACACATACGGGATTTGGGTCTGTTACTTGCTGAAACCTCTCTTCTCAGAATCTCCTTTTGGGATTGTAATGAAAAGTAATTTCTGTACTTCTACCTCTTTCACATCTGCAGAATGGTAAGAGTAATGCTTATTTTCCCTGAAAGGGCACTGACCAGGGCTAGATAAAACCTGATCTGTGCTTTCATGACAAAAAGTGTGCATCAAGCAGCTAGCTAAACAGTAAAACCAAGTGACTGTGGTCAGTGTTTTTTGCATTAAAAGTAATCCTTATAGCAAACAATGATACTGGTGACCCCATTCTGGTTAAGAATTTATTCAGGATATTGTCAAAGTGACAGCATTTCAGCTGCAATTGAACACTTTTTCTGTTTCTAATATCATGACTCTTTTGAGAATATATACAGAATGGTCAAAGAACAGAAAACTTCTGTCTAGGTTTGGGAGTTTAGGAAATTAGTAGCACTAAACATTACTCCTTAATATCCCCTTCCTTGTTTAACCCAGTATCATCCAAAATAGATGCAGGTGTCTGTTTAGTTTCTCATCTTATACCTTGTATAGTTGCTTACTAGCACACTCTGATTAGATTCTGCATTATGCTCACTTTGTCTTGTGGAAACTGATAGTCAAGTGAACAGTGTGACAGTGCACTGAGCACTATAACCTTTGGCCATTCCTAACTTTTAACTGAAGCAGTTAGACTGTTGTATCACTCCTGCTGTTCTCAAGCTTGCTGCATCACCCCCAGGCAAGACACACAGATTCCAGTCATCGCCACCACGGGATGGAGATTCAGTTTCTTGACAGCAGGTGTCTGGGTTCATCAGCTAGAGCTGAAATGTTCATGTCCTTGAGGAAATCCCAGCAGACTCCATGAGAACCCTCAGTTAGTCTGTAGATTGTATGCAGCACAAGCAGTGCTGGAAACCTTTTGCCTGAGATACAACTGCTCTCTTCTGAAGCACTTGTTGGCTCAACTGGGGCCAGGGAGTAGCAATCAAATGAGTTTCTGAGTAAGGATCTGCTCTCCCGAGTCCTTCATCAAATAAATACCTATTCCATCCAGTTTCATGTAGACTGTGTAAAGCAAAATAACTCCTATTTCTTCATGTATGCTCTTAACCAAAAGTTGTTCTTAATTGCATTATAACCCACAACAGTGAGATTAAAATTTTATTTCAGATGTAAAATAATTCTGTTTGAGTTCTTTAGCTGCTTCTCCTTATCTAATATGGAAAGAGTTTTCTCTTTAATTGTATCTCTCTGCCTTCAAGAATGCTGAGCAGCCTTTTAAACATGTGCTTTTTCCAACTTGCCACTTAACAAGTTATGGTTTGGAATAGTTTTCTCTTTGGCTGATTTTTCTCCCTTGTCAGTTGCACATTATGAACATAAAAAAGTAAGGAGGACCACAAAGGCTGAGGCCAAATGTGGGGAAACCAATGATCTTTATTAATGTGTTCTGTATAGAAATCTGTATGTATTTTTGCTTCGTAGGTTTGCTTTTAACAGAAAGCTAGAAATTACAGAAACTAGAGATAGCTTGCTATAATTTCACTGTCAGTTGGTCACTGACTTTTTAAAGTTAATATGTACTGTGATCAGCCCCACGCCATACCCAAATAACTCTCAATAGACTTTTCCCCAGAGGAGATTGAGTACTTACTGAGGCACAGTTGCTTTCTGACTTGTCTTCCAGAAAGCCAATTTGGCATGGTGTCCTCTGATTCTGCAGCCAGTAGTCTGTTGATTCTAGCAGACTGTTACTGCAGAGAATCTGTTAAAATAGTTAAAAATAGTTAAAATAATTAAAAAAAAATATTCAGTCCTACTTTGTTGTGGGGGCTTAAACTCTATTGTTGTAACTCACAGGAAATCTTGTCTGCAGAATTTGGGGGGGGGGGTGGGGACTGGGACTCCTGTTCCTTTTGGTCATGTTCAGTTAATGTGCCTTAAATCAGGTGATTTATATATCCCCTAAAGTACCAGCCTATTTTCTTTCAAAACTGAAAGTCCTTGGAGATACTCAAAGGAGATGCCTAACCCAAATATTTTAATTGGAAAATATTGCTAGAAGTATTGTTCTGTGTTAAAGTGATAAACACAGATGCTGGGACTCCTGTTCCTTTTGGTCATGTTCAGTTAATGTGCCTTAAATCAGGTGATTTATATATCCCCTAAAGTACCAGCCTATTTTCTTTCAAAACTGAAAGTCCTTGGAGATACTCAAAGGAGATGCCTAACCCAAATATTTTAATTGGAAAATATTGCTAGAAGTATTGTTCTGTGTTAAAGTGATAAACACAGATGCTGGGAAAACAAATTATTTAACTATACCAGAGCATGCGAACTTGCACCTTTGTGATTTACTATATCTCTCTCCACAATAGTTCAGTAGTGTCCATTCTACCAGCAGCCTCCTTTCTGGGACTGCCTATGCTACAAACTTTTCATTTTTCTGCTTTGTGAGAAGCTAAAGTACTTAAAACCTTCTGTAATGAGTACTTAGCAAGTCAGCTTGCATTTAATCTCTCTGTATTGCCTCAATCCTATGGTTTATGCCACAAGCTTTGCTCGAACAAAACCAAAATGGGCTTACAGATATCTGTAGACTCAAAAAGGGAAAGCCAGTTTTGCAAGCCTGATGTTTAGATTGAACTGAATTCCTTACTTGCTGGCTCTGTACTAATAGTCTTTCATGAAAAAGAGTGACTCTCAGTATTTTTAAAACAACTAGGTAACAGGGTAAACAATAGCTGCAACAATGATACTACTTATAGAACATTTCATATGGCTTATTGTTGTCTTCAGGCAGCAAAGTTAAGAATTAGGTTTGTGAAATGTGTGGATGTACACTTTATTTGTGCTTCTTACTATTCTTGCATTGCATGGGAATAGGCTGTGCTCTAGCCCTTTAGCCTTTAATTTTAATAATGTTGTTTTAAAATATAAATCTGTTGCTCTACCTGGAAAAAAATATCTATGGACAGTACTTTCCTTTACATTGCTGCATGTTTTGCTTTGACATGACTTTATCCTACTTCAGAACACTGAACCCATAAGCCTAGATCCCTTCCTTAGGAAGAGAAGTGAGAAGAACTTGTGAGGCCTCTTCATTTCTCAGTGAAGATAACTGTGGAAAGATGATCTGGCCAGTTGACACAATTTTCTAATACTCAGGGGCAATACAGAAGTAAGCTTATTGCCACCCTCAGTCTAACACCCACTACAATTTTTATCTTTCTGGCAGCAAGCCAGTTAGATAATTAATACTGCACTCTCTGTGTTATTCTATATTGATTTCTTCGTAAAGTCAGCAGAGGATGGATGAGGAGGTAATGGGGAACACCACAGTCTGTAAAGCTGTAAAGTTTGGCCTGCTTCAGTGCCCTCTGCCATGTTTCTTGGTACTCCAGGATTGCTATGGGAGTTCTTCTAAAGGACCTCTGAAGACAAATTTAGGGTTCATAAAGTACTCAGAAAAAGCACTGTGCTTTGTTCTGAGAATGACAAAGGCTCATGAATGTTTCACATCAACACCAGTCTCTTCTGAGAGACGACTAGCTAATCTTTTTTACCAGTTAAATGGCTCTGCACTCAATAAATTTTATAACCTCCTATCTTAGTGCAAAAAGATTCCTGCCACCATAATTAATGCTGAGACTAGATGTGGAAAATAATATATTTCATATTGCAAAGAAACAATTTTCTGTTAGTGTTATAAACGATATTTTTTTTTTAAGAAATGTTTCTGGATGTGGAAACCCTGAGCATTTGTAAACTGGTTTGTAACAGCTAGAATCAAGCTTTTTTTTTTTTTTTTTCAAGAATTACCATCCAAAAATTACCATCCTCTGGGTTTTTTTATGAAGACATGCTCTGGGGAGGCTTCAGATCAGTCTTCCAGTACCTAAAGGGAGCCTACAGGAAATCTGGAGAGGGACTTTTTACAAGGGTGTGTAGTGACAGGACAAGGGGAATCGCTTTACACTGAAGGAGGGTAGATTTATATTAGACACTAGGAAGAAATTCTTTATTGTGTTGCTGCCCCATCCTTAGAAATGTTCAAGGCCGGGTTGGATGGGGCTTTGAGCAACTTAGTCTAGTGAAGGGGTGTTGGAGCTAGATGACCTTTAAGGTCCCTTCCAGCCCAAACCATTCTATGATATATTCACATATCTGATTTCAGATTTAATCTGATTCTAGATCTTCTCATCCTCAAGGGCTGAAGTTCTTATTACCTGTTAAAACATAATTTTGCATACATAAGAAACAGTTCTCTTTAGCTCAAATAGCTTTTGCTGTTACAAGCAGTCTTGTTTCATTTCCTTAAAAATCAGAGTGCATTTGTCTTCAGCCTTAATCACTTCAGATCTTTCTTTCCCAAATCTCAGTCAGTTTCTGAGAAACCAGAAATTATCATTTAGAAACAAACTTCCTCTCTCATAAGGACTTGGTGTGCACACCCAACGTTTCAGAATAGCTAGATCATAGCATATGTATATTGTAGATGATAAACCCACAAAATGAGCTGGGCAGTCCAAACTTCGCCTAGTTTTCTACCTGTGGGATGTTAAATGACCCTTGGTATCTCTAGCTAAGTAACACAGGTTGGCTGAAAGTCATCTAGAAAGCCTCCAGAAATTAGAAAAGACAGCAGTGTGGGTAAGGGAAGCATTCAAGAACATGTGGGAGAGACCTCCTTGCATATGGTCTAGTTTTACATATATCAAATGGTGTTCAGGAGACAGAAAGTGACATTTGAGTAAGCAGTGGCAGGAATCCATCCCTGGCACTGTTCAAGGCCAGGTTGGACAGGCTTTGGGCGACATGGTCAAGTGTGAGGCATCCCTGCCCTTGGCAGGGGAGGTGGAACTAGATAATCTTGAAGTCCTTTCCAACCCAAACCATTCTGTGATTCTATGTGATTATATGTATTAGAGGGATTATATGAATTAGAGGTGTAAACTTTGGATTAGATTAAGTTTCTGCATTATGACCATTTCAGACCAATTATTGCTCAGAACCTTTCCATTAGTACTTCTTTGGAGGAAGGATAATTTGGGCCACCCCACAATGCTGATCATATCCCTGCTATGTAAAAATGCACATATAGAAGCTATGTGAACTTTGTGGCATATTTCTTTGGTAAGACAACAATGTTATCACAGTCAAAGACAGACATACAGTAAGAATGAATGTAATACTTGCATCTTGCTATCAGGAGGCAATTCTCCCTGTTGACTAGGTGCATGTGTTTATATAAAATGGGAGTTTGCATATGTATTAAATCTTTGTGGGATATTCATGCTTTTAAAGTCCTTATAGTAAAATAATGTATGACTGTAATGACTGAAAGTTGAAGAAGCTGGTCTAAATTAACAGGGCTAATTAATTAATCAAGTGCAATGTGAGAACAGGTATTCCTTGGAGATGTAACTTTATCGGTACATTCAGATTGTCATTTTTGCATATAAGCGTATTTTTAAAATATACTGAGCTAGTCTGTACCAAAGGATAAGAAACCTAAACCTGTACTACTTCAGCTGTCAGTCAGCATCCCTCTTTATGTATCCTGCACGTTTAAGGCAAATGTATCACTGGACAAAATTTTCCCCTCCTATCTTATACTTCTCTTCATTCTTTCTAATTGAGACAAGTTCTGGGCCAATCTCACTGACATACATTTTAGCAATTTTGCTGAATTCAGTGAGGTTGCTTCAGATTTGCAAGAGTACAATTGAAAGCAGAACTGGATTCATTGACCATACTTATGTCTAACAGCTGCACACACTATACTGCTGTATATCTGGTTCAGAGCAGGATCATCACACTTGGAAAATAATTCAGAATGAATTTGCATCATGCACTAAATGTGAAATCAGCAGTAATTCATGGTTCTAAAAAAAAAGTTTTCCATTCTTATCTAGAGACTCAGCCGTCAGCATTACTCAGTGTGTTGTGAATCAATGAACTAAATCAGCCTCTAGCAGAGTGTGGATTAGAAAAGTCACTCTTTCATGCATATGAGTTCAGTGTAACAGCTTCCTGCTCCCTGATTTAGATCGTAAGACATCAAAATACAGTAAATATCTATAACCGAGACAACATTAAAAAGTCTCTGCTCCACAAATGAAACATCTGCGCCTTCATGGCTGATCATCTTAATTGCTTTGGTTAATTACTACTCATCAGAAAAAGATATAAAAGTGGGACATACAGAATAAGATGAGATATCAAGGGGCACATCTGCATTTTTCAGATTGGTCTGTGTTCTAGCAGGCCACATATCATATGGTTTCTGACAAGAGCCATTCATGTCACATACAATTACTCAAACCTGCAAGTCAACTGTGTAAACTGTTGCCTTGCAGCGGGAACCCATAGCGTTCCTCCACCACCAATTTCACATCTAACTTAAAAAACCACTGTAACTAACAGAGGCTAAAAGAGAGAGCAATGGGGCTATTTTTGGTAATTTTTTATCCTTTTCCACAGACACACAAAAAAAAGAATGGTAATGCATGCTGTGACGATGCTGTAAAGAAGCCCAAAACCGCCTGCTGTTTGTCAGAAGAATTGGTAGAAGCAAATCATTTCTTTTACAGTGCCAACAGTCATAAAATTTACTTGTATTACAATGAAAAGTTCAAATGATCAGACACATGAAGCAGCTCAAAATCTTGTGGTAAAGGTAGCCTTTAAAAGAGAGGTGCTTCTGAAGGTCACCAAGCTGGAAGCATTTGTAAACACAGTGGTGGCACTTCAGTGCTGTGCTGCTGTCCTTCGGTCTTACATAGAATAGACAACTCTGAAATTAAATGAAAATCTAAGATCTTCCACACCATGCATTTTCTGCCTTTTTATGCCTGTATGAAGATTCCAGTTAGAGTCAGCAGTATTTTTTTAAAAATCAGGTACTTTTTTGCAAATAAACAAACCCTTTGATGAAAAGAAATATTGGCACTTTGTCTTTTTGCCATGCTGGGGGGACTCAGGGAAGCTCAGACCCATCATACACATCACTCTATTGAGTTCATGATTTTACTTTTAACGAAATATCTGTAGACAGACAATAGTCACACTCCACACCCACAGTGTGGTTTTTCAGGATGCTGAAGAAAAATCTTTACCTTCTACATGTTTCATCTTTCTCTCTCTCTCTGCATACATATATAAATATATTTATTTGTTCTTTAAACAAACAAACAAACAAACAGACAAAACCACCAAATGAACCACAGATGTAAAACATTATTATTACTAGTGGAAGGAAAAGAAAAAGAAAGAAAGAATTATGGGAAAACTGAATGAAATATGATGTTTTATAACATTTGTGTGTTAAAACAAATGCTCTCTTATCAGCTCTAGAATTATGCCTGTGGGAGACAATAGATCTCTGAGGGTTATTGCAAAGTGAGAGATGAAAGATGGCCTGCCCTCCTCGATAGGTCTTTGGTAGTGCCTCTTTCCC